ACTGCCTCCATTCCTCCAATGCCCATTTTATGGCCAGTAACTCACGGTCGCCCACACCGTACTTCTGCTGGGTGGTGGAAAACTTCCTGGAGAAGTAGGCGCAGGGATGGAGCCTGTCGTCGGGCCCGCCTTGAGATAGGATGGCGCCGGCGCCGACGTCAGAGGCGTCGACCTCGACCACAAAGGGGACTGCAGGATCTGGATGGCGGAGGATCGGGGCCGAGGTAAAGCGGGTGACCAGGTGGTGGAAGGCCCGAATGGCGTCGGGAGTTAGATGAAACGGCTGGCCAGGGGAGCCTGGTCGAGTGAGAGAGGTGAGAGGGGCTACGAGGGTGCTATAGTTCTTTATAAAACGGCGGTAAAAGTTGCAGAAACCCAGAAAACTCTGCAGTTGTTTCAGGCTGGTTGGCAAGGGCCAGTCCTTCACCGCCTGGATTTTCTGAGGGTCCATGGTTATCCCTTCGTCCGAGATCCTGTAACCCAGGAAGGATATGGACTGCTGATGGAAGGAGCATTTCTCGGGTTTACAGTACAGGTTGTGGTCCAGGAGCCGGGTCAGGACGGCGCGAACATGATGGATGTGTTCGGCCTCGGATTTGGAGTAGATCAGTATATCGTCCAGATAGGCAAACACCCACCGTCCCAGCATGTCGCGGAGGACATCATTAATGAGACGTTGGAAGACAGCAGGGCTATTGCATAGTCCGAAGGGCATAACCAGGTACTCCCAGTGGCCGGTGGGTGTTATGAAAGCGGTCTTCCACTCATCCCCGGCCTTTATACGGACCAGATTGTAGGCGCTCCGGAGATCCAGTTTCGTAAAGATCCGTGCCTGGGAGATGGCATCCAGAGCGGTAGTGAGGAGCGGCAGAGGATGGCGGTCCTTGACCGTGATCTTGTTCAGACCCCGATAGTCTATGCAGGGGCGAAGATCGCCTTCCTTTTTCCTCACGAAGAAGAAGCCAGCGGCACCCGGAGAGGAGGAGGGTCGAATGAACCCCTGCTGGAGGGCCTGGGCGATATATTCTTCCATCGCTTTGGTCTCGGGAGGCGCGAGAGAGAAAAGGCGCCCGCGGGGAGGACTGGTTCCGGGTAGCAGCTTGATCTCCATATCATATGGCCGGTGAGGTGGCAGGGAGGTGGCGCGCCGCTTGTCGAACACCGCGGCCAGGTCCCGATAGGGCAGCGGCAGGTGGGGCGGTGTGGAGCTGGGGCCCCCGTCCGGAAGACCCGCCGAGGATGGAGGAGGAGCGAGGTGGGTCTGGCACGAGGTCCCCCAGCCCAGCAGGCGGTTCTGGGACCAGGAAATATGAGGGTCGTGGAGACGGAGCCAGGGGAACCCCAGGATTAGGGGAGAAGAGGGAGCAGAAATGATCAGGAAATGGAGGGTCTCCTGGTGGCCTTGGGTGATCATACGGAGTGGCTGGGTTCGTCTCGGACTGGGTAGGGTTGGAGAGGCCTACCGTCCACCGAGGTCACTGGTATAACCCTCTCCAGGGGTTGTAGGGGGATCCGTAGGCGTTTTGCCAGATCCAGGTCCATGAAATTGTCCGCGCCCCGAGTCCACCAATGCGTTTACGTGGAGTGAGGCCTCACCATGGAGGAGGGTGACAGGAATAAGGAGACGGTTAGTAGCGACAGGGGTAGAAGAAGACCCAGACTGAGCGACCCCAATACTCAGTGGGGCCCCCCGTTTCCCGATCGTCGCGGGCAGTCCAGGCGTCGGTGGTCGGGAGAGCCACAGTAGGCACAGAGGCCCTCGCGCCACCGTCGTTGTCTCTCCTCGGGGGGAAGGTGGCCGAGCTGCATGGGCTCCTCCGTCAGCATGGGTACAGGAGCTGGCGTGGGTGAACGAGGGCGAGGCACCGGCATCCTGGGGGGACGCGTGGATAACTTCGGTCGAACCAGAACCCGCTGGTCGATGCGCAGCGCCAGATCAACCACCTCATCCAGGGTCTGAGGCAGCTCCCTTCCCGCCAACTCATCACGGATGTAGGGTGCCAGCCCCTCCAGGAAGGCGGCCCGCAGAGCGGAGTCATTCCACTGCAGCTTGGCGGAGATGGTGCGGAACTCCGACGCATAAGCGCACACCGAGCGTTCCCGCTGGCGGAGTTTGAGAAGGCGTGTCTCTGCTCCCACTTCGCTGCTGGGGGGAACAAAGGTCTTCCGGAGAGCGGACACAAACGCAGCATAGTCGTTGCAGGCAGGGGATTTGGAATTGTAAAGCGCAGCAGCCCACTCCGCGGCGCGTCCGGAGAGCAGGGAGGTGAGATGCGCCACTCGGGAGCGCGCAGATGGGTAGCGTCCAGGTTGGCACTCGAACTGCATGTCCAGCGTGGCGAGCAGACCATCAGGGCTCCCCGTCTCTCCGTTCCACCTCTCCGGCAGGCTGAAGTGGGGCTCCTCCCTAGGAGCAGAGCGGGTTGGATGCTGGAGTGCCGCGATCTGTTGCTGCTGATCGTTTGCTTGTTGTTGGAGAGCCGTGAGAGCCGTGGATAGACGCAGGGTGTGGTCGGACAAGGAGTTCACCTTGGTGTTGAGCTGATCTACCATGGAACGCAGCTGCACGTTCTCGTGGCGGAGACGATCGATCTCCGTCGGATCTACTTGGATCTCAGTCATCCTGTCGGGCTGATCAGACTGGATGAAGGAGACGAACAAGGTGAGACGTTTAACAGTTTTATTATTTCTCCGGTCGTATCTCTGTGAGGAAGAAACGATGACTGAGATGAGAAGCCGGTACCGGCGTCTTCCATATATAGCCTTGCTTGGCTGTGACGTGGAGGGAATCCCCGCGAGGAGCACGCTGGGAGCTCCCCATGAGGAGCATGTCGGGAGTTGTGGTCCGAACGTCAGCCGGGAGATACCTGAGTCCTGACACATTTCTGTGGGTAATTACTAAATGACACTTTTTCTTTCAGTTATTTTTAATAAATTACTTTGATAGAAATTGTTTCTTTAACATTAAATATGCATGGCAGATGTAAAACACTGAAAAGAAAACAGGTTTTTATGTATTTATCTCTGTTAGAGAGCTCCGTCTGCTATGGTGTACCATCTAGTGTCACAGAATCAATGTGAAATATCTGACTGCCGATAAGAAACAGTAGAGTAGATTCAAACAATAGACTGAACCCACAGGTCTGACACAAGAAAAGGCAAACCAGCAGGAACAAATACTAATGTTTAAAGGGCTAAGTCATCACTTTTGGTTCTTGTTCCAATACTTTTATGATTGATATTAAACATATTTGTGAAGTTCTTTGATCGAAATCCCTCTAACATAAAGTAAACTCAGCAGTTTTATTCTTAAAAGCTTCTTTTCAGAATGAGTCGTTTCAGGGCTCTGTCACTTTAAGAAAACAAGCTGGAGCTGGCCACACCCGCCATCCCCACTCAGACCATAGATATGTATACAGTATAAACACATCTATTGTAGATATGTTTATATTCATATCTATGACTCAGACTGCTATGAGCTGAGAAGCTCTGATATCTGGGAGGAGTTTGTGACAAGAGCCACTGCTCCTACTGTAGCAGCTCTCTCTTGCATGTGAAGAGCTTTTATTCCAATTACCCTGCTTGTGACATCACAAACTGGGACTTTTAAAATGGCCTTTTTTAGGCAGATAATTCCTGAATCTAAACAGACAGACAATTGATGAATTTTTTTTTTCTTTTTTGGAGTGTTTATAGAGGCAATAGAGACTCTCATGACAGCACAAAAGAATAGAAAAGACATTATGTGCCCTTTGAAAGCTCGAACATAGGTAGTCTGATATATGAGGGCAAACATGTAGGCTTGTAGTCACACAGAGCAGCCATAAGAGACATGGAGACATAATCATAGAAGCTTTTAGGCATGATGTTGGTGACTGGAGTTCAGCAGACTGTGTTAATGGAAATGGAAGGTGGTAGTTCTGCTAATGCAAGTTATTTTACTCAAAGTTGTGTCCTTCCTGTGTGCCTTTCCTTTTCAGAGTCAGAATATAGACATGATGGTGATGAATTACGTCAAACTGTCCTGGTAAACCTGTAATACTCTCAGACATACCGAACATGTGGATCCCTGCTCTAAAGGACGATCTTTCATTACAAAAACACAACAGGCAACAGTGTTGTTGGCAGATATTTAATGAGCGTTAATGCAGCAGATCGACGTGTTTAATGACACTGGAGTGAGACGTTTCTCCCATTAGATGCTGCTAAAGTCATAAAATACTCGTCTGACTACTTTGGCATATCTGCATAAATTTAATGAAATGTTCTGGTAAAATGTTCTTTCATAAAAACAGTTTGTGTTTCAACAATAAGCTGCTGATTTAATGTAAGAACATGATGTTATTGTGAAAAATGTCCTCTACGTGCAAATCTGGGGGACATTTTCTATTAAAAGTGTGTTTGCACAGCTTCATTTAAATAAATCTCTCTCTGTTTGTGACTCACATCACACCTGTGCACCCTGAACTTTGTGCTTTGGCACCAGAATACCAAACAGATGGGAAAAGCACATTTCAAGGTCAGAAAACATTCTGCCCCACTATCACAGAATCGAGACCATAAGACTGATTCAGGTTATAACTTTCTCACTGAGGCACATCTCATAAGTAAAGTTAGATCTCCATGAGGAACATTAGCCCCTAACCTCTCAGGATCTGCTCATATATGAACATAAAGGGACTCTTTAAATGCTGCCAGGATTGTTTGGAATAAGTGAGCGATGCTTTAATTAGAACAAACCCGTCATACTTAACTGGAACTAAATGGTCTGTTTCCTGGGATGGAGAAAGTCCTAAAGAAGTGAATTTGTGTTTTAGAGCTTCAGAATAATTTAATGTAAATTTATTCTTGTTAAAAGTGACTGAAAAAAATAATGTAAACTCTGGTGTGTGTGTGTGTGTGTGTGTGTGCGTGTGTGTGTGTGTGTGTGTGTGTGTGTGTGTGTGTGTGTGTGTGTGTGTGTGTGTGTGTGTGTGTGTGTGTGTGTGTGTCATTAACAGGCTTGTTGAACCTGGAGCAGCTCCTCAGACAGTTCCTCATCTCCAAAGAGACTCTGTCTGTACGCATGCTTGACGACAGCCAGGACCCGACCCCGCTCCTAAAAGAGATTCGAGATGACAAGACGGCCACCATCATAGTGGACGCCAATGCCACCATGTCACACATCATCTTAGAACGGGTTGGTGAACTTCTGATGATAAATCTGTCATTTATAAACGTATTTTCTATCATTTATTCTCACATTCCTGATTTAATATCAATTGGACACATTTGTATGTCTAAAAACAACAGTGCACACATGCACTGTGTGTGTGTGTGTGTGTGTGTGTGTGTGTGTGTGTGTGTGTGTGTGTGTGTGTGTGTGTGTGTGTGTGTGTGTGTGTGTGTGTGTGTGTGTGTGTGTGTGTGTGTCTGTGTGTCTGTGTGTGTGTGTGTGTGTGTGTGTGTGTGTGTGTGTGTGTGTGTGTGTGTGTGTGTGTGTGTGTGTGTGTGTGTGTGTGCGTGTGTGTGTGTGTGTGTGTGTGTGTGTGCGCGTGTGTGTGTTTTTGTGTGTGTGTGTGTGTGTGTGTGTGTGTGTGTGTGTGTGTGTGTGTGTGTGTGTGTGTGTGTGTGTGCGTGCGTGTGTGTAATATGTGTTAAAGTGTTAAGTTACCTTCTACCAGAAAAACCTGTTACATCGCATTCCTGCATGTAGATGAGGACATTCAATTACGCTTTCTTCAATAATTAAATTTCAATATCATTAATTCTGCAGGTTTGTGGATTAGCATGAGTAATAGCAGAGCTGTAAAAACGATTTTGTTGCAAATTGAGTAAAAAACACTTTTAAGAAGGATTAAAAGAAAAGGTGAAGTAAAACACGACACCTTTACCTATCAGCTCTCGATCTATTGGTTCATTCTCTCCTTAAATAAAAATGTAAACGTGGTCTTTAGAGAAGTGGAGTCCATCCTCAGAGTAAAGCTGCTTTCTGACATTAGTGAGAATCCTCTCTGTCTCTGTGAATGAAACCTTTATGTTCCTCTACACTGATGAGGTAATTATTGTCTCATGATGTCATGAAGTCTTTGGAACAGAAAGTGAATGCCACCTTCCCGTCTGCTCTAGGTGCTTTTATAAGACACACCATATACCGGCAAATCGGCGTAATGTTACCGCAATGGTATTTCTATAAACGCGCCATGCCGGCATGGCATTGCACGAATTTTGCGGCATCCATGCCGCGTCGCTTGGTAGTAATATTGCGGCAATGGTCTGTCGTATGTGCCCTGGCGCAACAGAGGCAGATGTCATGACGAGGGGAGTTATTCGGCTGGCAAATTTATTGAAAATGAAAGTAAACACAGGCAATAAGGTTTGCTTTTTGAACAAAATCTGCTGAGATGGCAAACCGGAGCGCCGCAACGCGCCAGGAGCCTCTCTGTTAGAGCTGAAGCTCAGATCACCAGAGACTGCACAGGGACTGATGGGGACAGACACCTTTAGGAGGTGCTTGTTAAAAAAACTTAACGATCACGGCTTCAATCGCAATAAAAAGCAAGTTATGTTCAAGACAAACGGAAGTCTGCTGCTGCGCAGAGACCGCCCCGATACTCTCTTTATGCCGCCATCGCCTAATCTTTTATAAAATTGCCGTCCGATTGCACCACATTACCACCACAGTCTGATCTTATAAACGACCTTTATCCTCCCCAGGGAGCCGCGGCAAATCCTGTTTTGCAAACGCTATGGTCCTGTAAAAACAGCTGTTGCTAAGACTCAGCTGTTTCTTAAAAAGAGTAGATAGAGATTAAAGTGGAGCTGACATTCATGTTTATTGTTTCTGATCACTTTTCACTCTAAGGTAAGCTTTCAGTGATCATCCTGTAACCATGACAACCTCAGCAGCCCTGGGCCACGTAGCAGTTAGTCTTCTCTCAGTTTCATGTCTAACCTTCTTCCTCCATCAAAGCTTTAACACAGAGTTTGCTTCTGTCTCTTAGTTTTCTGCTCAAACAGAAGATCGTGTCACTTTATTTCCTCACACCTCCTTCACCTTCTGCTCCCATGAACCCATCCTTTCCATTTCTCACTCCTCTGTCCTCCTTTTGTGTCACGCTGTCAGAAGACAGTCGGTGTGAAGTCCACACTCTGTCCTCTCATGTGGAGCTCAAACAGCAGCTGATAAACACATCAAAGCTACACGTCTGTGTTTATTCAGTCCCGCATGATCATAAAAGAACTTGTGAAGAGAAGACGATCCTGCCTTTTTCATTAAGGACATTTCTCCTTGTTTGCTTGTTTGCATCTCACATCAAATCCTCTTCAGACAAAAGTCTCTGATGTTTAAGCATTCATGGGGGTTTAAATCAGCTGTTTTAGCATTTTGAATGTAATCTCTTTGAGTCCGGCTGTCACAGCTGTACAGAAGCAGAGTGAGATAGATAGTGATGTGTGATCTCACCAGAAGCTGTGGCCGAACAACAAGATCAAAGCTGAGTCAGGAAGAGGAAACATGGAGGATGGTTTGGGTTTTGTTCTGCTTTAACAATGAAATATGTGCATCAGTCATCATTATTATGTAAATGTGTGTTTTTCTGTTGTTAACGGTGCACATCAAAGCATATATGTTATTTGTATTTACACATTATCTGCCATTGGTTCTGTGTCACAAATAAAATAACCATCATCGTTTCTTTTCTACATGAATATGAAAGATTCATGTTGCCAAACAGCTTCTAGGAAGCACATAATTACTGCAGCTGAAGAAGTTTTAAAGTGACTGTGAGTCAAATGTAAAAAAGAGAAGGACGTTCAAGGAAGACGCAATGAAAGACTTATTAGATGTTTTTTTTCTGTGAAATTGAACAGCTTGTTAGTTTTTATTGGTTTACTATTAATGCTCCATTAAAACACCTGAACATTCATATTTCATTTCTGTACATATTCAGGTTAACAGCACAAAAACATTATCAGAGCTCGTTGATTTTTGACAGCTAAATATCTGTTATTAAAACCTCTTTGATGACACACAACCTTTAATTGATGCTCAAGTGAAAGCTGCTTCTTATGGGAAATATAAATATGGAACTATCAGCAGAACCAGGTGGGATTAAGAATAGAACAGAAGCGTCAGCTTTGATTTATGCAAACCTGTTTAAATACTAAGAAAACCTTTGCACAACCCTTTAGGATTTGATACGTTTTACTGCAGCTTGATTTAACTAAAGCCATTATTTTAATGAATTTGTGTTTTGATCATCTTTTCTTCATGAAAGGAAGCTGTAAAAAGTTCACCCTGCCCTTCACAGCAGCTCTTCTCTGACTGTGATTAAATCTAATTGTGTGACAGTGTTGAGCAGCATACCAATGGACCTCACTAATTATTACTCCATTGAGACCCTTCGTCAGATCAGAAGATGTTTTCTCTTATCAGGATGGAGATTTGATCTGTGTGAGATTGGGTTCCTCAAACCTTTCCCTCCTGGATGTTATTTTTATTTTGTTTCTTTGACCTCCAACTTGACACTTTTTCTCTAAAAAGTCAGTGCTTTTTAGTTTCTAGGAATTTTCTTACTCATACTGTTCCTTACTTTTCTCTTTCCCTTACAGGCCTCTGAGTTGGGAATGCTGTCGGTCTACTACACATACATCTTCACCTCTCTGGTAAGAAAATACTTAATGGCATTGACCATTAGTGCCCCTAACACTGTATTAAAACAGAAAACTTTAATTAGTGGTCGTCTGATTTATTAGTGAGTGGTTGGCTGGAGCTTCAGAATAATTTCTGTGTAGATTTATTATATCTGGGTCACTTTTCCGCCTCATTTTGTCGAACTAATAAATGAGTGTAGCGATGGATGTCGTTCAACAGCTTATCTGGATGAAATTAATGAATAATTGTTATATTTCAGACTATTTACAGTTTCTGTTTCTGCACTTTTTACCTTTTTTCATATTTAAAAATCAAAACTTGCCTTTTTTGTTCCTTTTTCGCTCCATGGTGTGTTTTGGTATTTGTTTGTTTTGTGTGTTTGTGTTTATTCGCAAGTTAAAGTGTATCGAAAAGTAATTACATGAGAGTGGGAATAAAAGCTGCTGAAATAAAATTAGTTATAGTTATTTTGACCCCAACCATCCCAAACGGACAATCTTAAAGTTGCTCACGATTACCACAATGGCTCCAAAGATAATCTTATTAGACAATCCTGCCATGTGTGGTGTTGCATAAGTTATCTGGTCTGCTCAGAAGGCTGTCGGAACCGCTCTGATTATAAATCTGGACTTTCAAATATGTTGGTGTCAGAACCCAAGCCCCCAGACCGGCCTCTCCCAGCTAACCGACCTCCATCTTGGACCATATTTCCTAGCATGCTCCTTGCGGGAACTCCCGGCATTCTCCCAGTCACACCCAAGCCTATATATGGAAGACGCCGCACCGGCTCTTCACTCAGTCATCGTTTCATTGAAACCCCTGATCAGAGTTCTCTACCGAATAATCCAGATATCAAACATCTTTACCAAGCTCAACTCCCGTACCCAGTCGACCAGCGTGACAGTTGGATCCTCTTGGTCTGGTTTTCAGAGACAAAGTAACATGCTGCCTGTTGAATTTGAAGTTTAGCAGAAAGCGAGGAGACAGAATTGTGCAGCGCTCCTCCTTCCCTATGTTTGTTTAATTAGAGTTCATGTTTTATCTCACGAGATTTCCCATCTGAGCGGGGAATGTCCTTGAATGAAAGTGGTTCGACTTGTATAGCCATCATTTTTTAACCACCATGGGTGGGGTTGCACTTGTTTTAAAAAATAAATGACCTTCAATGGGAACCAGACTTTAAATAGGTCTAAATCAAAATTGGGCTTTAAAACTTTTATTGCAATTGACTTTCTAAATGAAATACCCCCTCAAAGTGGGGTTCAGAGACCGCCAGGGCTCCACAACCCATTGGATCCATAAAACATATGTTTTGGGATGTGCAGAATGACTGCATGTTCATCTCCATGGCTAGAGCTAATTAGCACAATGGACACGTTTTTAAGTTAGTCAACTTCATGAAGTAATGCAAAAGCCAAACCAGATCAAAAAGTAAACAGTTTTCAGGCTTTACCAAGAATGTCACCGGAAGACCAAAATGTGTCTTCAAGTGTAGCAAATGAGGCAATGAAGTTGGTCAAGTTAAAGATGCATCTACTCACAAACCCACCTCAGTCCTTGAATAAAGCAAAAGATGTATTACAGCAAGAGGGTGAGGACTATACACCCCAGAAATAAACCTGGCCACAACATTGAAGGTGGTCCTTGAAGAAAGTCGGTCCGATCACCTGTGTTATAACACCATGAGAGGGATTTGGGGGGGGTGACTGGACCATTTGGGCTCTCCCTGGTTGAGTGTGTTGAGGTCTTAAGGGGAGCCCATCACCATTTTGGCCAGACATGAAAGTTAACTTGAACCCTGGTTTGGCTCCAGAACCTTCTCTAGATTACCTTATACAGATTACTGAGTTTCCTTGAACCTGCAAAATCTAAATCCGCACATTAAAGCTGAAGAAATGCTTAGATTATGATTAGGGGCACGTGCCTGTGTTGGTTGGGATTACCTTCATGTCAGGAAAAAGCCAACCCACTCAGTTGTCACAGCGTAAACCCTGGCTTGTGTAAAATCTTAACAGGATGAAACTGTGTGGAAATCTGCTCCCCATCGGAAACTAATGAGGTTCAAAACACTTTGGTCTAATAGAGCTTTAGAGAGAATTCAAATCAAGCTGATTTATGCCTCATTAAGAGAGGGCTGGATCCCTCCACGGCTCTTCACATCATCCTAGCTGCTATTATTGCTCTTTTTCTCCTTTTAATCTCCAGTTCTAGAAGCAATTAATAATACAGCCAAGTACTAACTGGGTGTTTACCGTTTGCTGACTTTATCAACATTTCTCCTGAAATATTTAAGTATTAAAAATTTATAATTCACTCAGCATCATTTTCAGGCTGTAAATATAAATATGTAGATCTCCTCGTGGCACCAGTTTAAATGATGACTTTAAATATGTTTGCGTGGGCAGAAAGTTTCTCCTTCAGAGTGAACCTGATGATGTTCCCTTTGGAATGAAAAGTTCAGTGAAAATTCAAATTTGAGCCACTGACCGTCTAAACCTGTGTCTGTGTGTGTGTGTGTGTGTGTGTGTGTGTGTGTGTGTGTGTGTGTGTGTGTGTGTGTGTGTGTGTGTGTGTGTGTGTGTGCGTGTGCGTGTGTGTGTGCGTGTGTGTGTGTGTGTGTGTGTGTGTGTGTGTGTGTGTGTGTGTGTGTGTGTGTGTGTGTGTGTGTGTGTATACACTGGTTGTGACCAAAAGAACATCTACTCAGTATCAACTGCTGTCAGGAGACTTTTCCCCCAGTGGTTATGGTCGCATGACAGTTGGGAGACAATTTGGGACTTTTGTGATAAATGAAGCAAAAGTAGAAACTGTGGATAGCGCTGACTTGAGATCAACTGGTGTGAGTGAGGAAGAGGAAACTGCTGATGATTCAAATATTCCAGAGAAGACTGGAATTCTGATAATAATGTTCATTTTACTGAGTCTTTCACTTTCCTTGGTGAGATTTAGTCTGAGAAAAAAAATGTTTAATTTGTTATTTTGTACAAACATGTTCATCTCCAGTTGCATCAGCTCCTTTGTGCTTGTCTAAAACAAACGGTTGTTTATCAGTTCTCACCATTTTAACCTTCCTGCATCCTGCTCTCACCTCGCCTGTTTTGTCCAACCATCCTCTGCTTGTTCCTTCCTCTGCTGACTCTTCATTAGTCTCCAGGTCTCACATCCCTGACTAACGATCAGTCAGACGCCTCCTCCACTTAATCTGTTTCCTCTGAATCTTCATCTCTAGATGCTCATCAACGTCTTTGAGTGGCTGCTTATCTTGAGTCAAGGCTTTCTGCGCTGTCTCAGGACACGTTTTGTTTGAATCAGAGTTGCTTCAGTAGATTTAATTTTACAATTAGAGAAAATCTTTCTTACATTATCATTTTGCTGGATTATGAGTCTTTCTTCTGTTGTAGCAGGAGTAGATTCAGTGAAGGTGTCTCTTTGGAGACGATACAAGAAAAAAACAGGTTATCATCATCACGTGAAGAAGTGATCAGCTGATGCTCTCAGGGATGAAGATCATTTTCTTTTCCTTTGATTTTTAGTCAAAACAGTTTAAAGTTGTAACAGTTCCTGAAATTTGCTGCTCTGTAAAATTTTCTTTGTTCTTTGATTTCAGAAGTGCTGGTTCTGGATAATCAAATGCACCTTTTAATCTACAAGTTGGCTTTAGTTGATGGTGCTGATGAGACTTAGACAAGCAGGTGATGAGGTGGAAAATGAACACCTTCACCTCTCTTGTCCACTCAGCTGTTAGTGTCCTCAGCTGTAATTGTGAGATTTGATAGAAATCTGAGCTGTTGGTTCAAAAAGAGCAGAAACTAAAACAAAGATCTCAGACGCAGAAAAGCTCAGAGACTTAAGAGCTCAACTTAACCTTTACAGCTTCTCCTTGGAAAAACAAAACTTTGTTTCTGGGAGAGCAAGCACTTCACATCACATCTCTCTCTCTCTCTCTCACACACACACACACACACACACACACACACACACACACACACACACACCGACTGCTCCACAGCTCTCATCTAAGTGATTTTTGTCCTGCGATCCAAACGTCTCTGCTGGATTGAATAAATCACATCGAGTTGGGAGTGACTCATCTTCTGTTGACAGGATGCTTAATGTCATTTGAAGGTTAGATGAGCGCGAGATCAGGCCTGGCAGCTCAACATGTGGCGCACTTTCACTTTGGGACGTCTTTTTGAGTCTTGATGTGAGATCGCAGACTCATTTTTTCTCAATCAGGTGCAACAAAAACAATCAAAAACATGCTTCTACATGTCCTTCCAGCTGACATTTCATCTTTCTCTGCAAAGATGCAAACATCAGTTCTACTCTCTCTCTCTCACACACACACACACACACACACACACACACACACACACACACACAGGACTGTCAGCTCTCAGAGCTCTGTGAATTTTTCCGTTGGGTTTTGTTCCATCCATCCATTTTCTTATGCTTATACCAGAGTCAGGTCGCAGGTTAGGGTTAGGGTAATGGGCTCAGCACACGGGAGGCGACATCGCCTCTCCTCCATTCATTTTCGATGAGACATGCGCGACATAGCGATAATCGCGGGTCTCCCTCCTACTAAGCGAAACGCGAAAAACATGCGTGTGAAATTTTGCGCTCGTGCACGTGTCGTGTTCAGGCGACCCAGCGACGCGATCCCAGAAAGTTGAAATATTTTCAACTTTTCATCGCTTTCGCTCGGACGAGGACTAATCAGCGGAGGTTTCATTCACTGACTAATGAGCGGACAGGATGCTCCGTACACCTCCGAGCAAACATGGAGGAGAAGTTGATTATTATTATGTTTATATAGTAAAATCTGAAGTAAGATTTCACACAACTCTAGCAGCACCTTGTGAAACATCATATCTACTGCTTTTTAAACTCTGAACCGCTAAAATAACCTTCATTCCCTTCAACCTGACACAACCAAACAAAACAACGGAAGTTTCGATTTCGCCATGGAACAGAACGCGTAGATGGCTTTGGTGCTGGCCGCTGCCGC